CAAGCCCGAAGGCGACTCACAAACAGTAAAAACAGTAGAAACAGCAGTGGTTCCATACAACATATAACAATTGACTTAACACATTATCCATAAATTACCAATAAGTAATTACAATGCACAATTATTACAAAAAACAACCGTACCCAATCTTCTCATCATCCAAGTGTAGTCCAGGTTCGTCGTCCATTGTTCCATTCCTATGTTCCATTACCAGATTGCACTAAATTACTCAAACGCCTGCACAAACATCCAGGTCTTCAACTTTCTCTCTGGAATGCCATGAGAGATGGCGCCAGCCTAATGTCTGTAGGAAGGGCGTTCCACAGCTGAGGAGCCACCACCGAGAAGGCCCTATCTCTCGTCCCCGCCAACCGTGCTTGAGAAGCCGGCGGGATCGAGAGCAGGGCCTCCCTGGAAGATCTCAAAGTCCTGGTGGGTTCATAGGCTGAGATGCGGTCGGAAAGGTATCTTGGGCCGGAACCGTTTAGGGCTTTATAGGCCAATGCCAACACCTTGAATTGAGCCCGGTAGCAAATCGGCAGCCAATGGAGCTGGCCCAACAGGGGGGTTGTATGCTCCCTGCACTCCGCTCCTGTTAGAATCATGGCTGCCGCACGTTGGACTAATTGAAGCTTCCAAAACTCTTATTTACAGCTAACTATATTGTTAAAAGAATTTCCTATCCGAATGGTTTCCTTCTGCTCTACCTGAGGGCTTCTTTCTTGACAGTATTTTGAAGAAAGCAGAAATTCCAGACAAGAAACAGTCAGGGCCTCTCAACAAAGGATTCACCCCAGGCAGGAAGCAGCCAGGCTTTGAAGCTGCAAGGCCATTCAGTGCTAATCAATGTGACTAATTTTATTTATTTATTTATTTATTTGGGGTGCTTCTACCCTGCCCTTCTCAACCCCCTAGGGGGGACTCAGGGCGGCTTACAAAAGGCACAATTCGATGCCCAACAACTCACAAAATACAATGTACAAAATTACAATATAACGTCAACAATTATAACTAATTAAAACAATCAAAAACAATACAGTCGCAGCAATAAAATCATCTTGTCAATGTTCGCCAATTCATAAATCCATGATCCGTCTAGCATCGTCATTGTCCTTTCCTACTTTGGTCGTCATTGTCTTTTGTCCAACTGCCAGCTTACCTGAAGGCCTGGTCCCACATCCAGGTTTTTAACTTCCTTCTGAAGGAGAGGAGGGATGTTGATGACCTAATCTCCCCGGGGAGTGCATTCTACAGGCGAGGGGCCACCACCGAGAAGGCCCTGTCCCTCGTCCCCACCAGTCTCACTTGTGATAAAGGTGGGGCCAAGAGCAGGGCCTCCCCAGAAAATCTTAACCTCCGAGGTGGGACGTAGAAGGAGATACGTTCGGAAAGGTACGCTGGGCCGGAGCCATAAGGGGTTTTGTAGGTCAAAACCAGCACTTTGAATTGTGCTCGGAACTGGATTGGCAGCCAGTGCAGCTGACACAGCAGGGGGGTGGTATGCTCCCTATATGACGCTCCAGTGAGTAATTGCAACATTCCCACTTGCCTCAAGCAGACGAAAGTTCTTTCTCCCACCCTGGACATGCCACAGACATAAATCCTACTTGCCTAGTTTCCAACAGACCTCACAACCTCTGAGGATGCCTGCCATAGATGTGGGCGAAACATCAAGAGGGAATGCTTCTGGAACATGGTCATACAGCCCAGGAAACTCACAGCAACCCAAAGCAGAAATTATTGCAACAGAGAATTGAAATATTCTTGGAATTATTTGGATTGGGGAATATCAGTGCAGTTAGTTGTAGTTCAAAGTAATTTAATAGTTTTTAATTATTTTAAGGGATTTTAATTTTCTGGTTCAATTCTATTTTAATATTTGTATGTTGTCGTTTTTGTATGTCGTAGTTTATGTTAAGCTGCTTTGAGTCTCAATATAATAATAATAATAATAATAATAATAAAGTGTACTGCTTTTTAAAACTTGTGTCTTGTGTTTATTCTCTCTTCTGTGTATTTTAATATGTAGTTTATAGAAATATATTTTATTATGTGCATATATACAATGTTTACAATGTTTATGTGTTTGAATTATGCTGTAACCTGCCTCTAGGAGCCCTCGGTGGCACAGTGGGTTAAAGTACTGAGCTGCTGAACTTCCTGATGAAAAGGTCACAGATTTGAATCTGGGGAGCGGCGTGAGCTCCCGCTATTAGTCCCAACAGTGCTGCATACAGTCATGCTGTCACATGACCTTGGAGGTGTCTATGGACAACACCGGCTCGAGCACCAATCCCCAGAGTCGGACGTGAGCTCCCACTGTTATAGTGCTCAATGCAGTCATGCCAGCCACATGACCTTGGAGGTATCTACGGACAACACTGGCTCTTCGGCTTAGAAATGGAGATGAGCACCAATCCCCAGTCGGACACAGCTAGACTTAATGTCAGGGGAACACCTTTATCTTTAACCTGCCTCTAGCCTCAAGGAGAGGCGGGTAAGAAATAAGATTATTATTAATATTGTTGTTGTTTTTAATGTCTCAGATAAAAATGGGAAATTATAATAATACAGTAACACCACTTACCAACAATTTGCAGAATTACTTATTGGAATAATAGCTTGTATGTTTTCCCCAGTTTTGAGGGAAATCTGACTCAGATTTCTGCAATTGTATGGATTTTCAATTACTTATGATTGCAGGCAACTGCTTTTTTTTTCTTTTTTTCCCTAATTAACTGAGAGTGGGATGAAAAATTAATTTGACAGGTGAATCACTTCCCACTGCTGAATTTCTGTGCCAAAAAAGCTGGATGTGTTTGGAGGAAATATAACCAGCTCCCCACATTTGTTGGGGTTTGCAAGTAAAACAGAAACTACAGCAGCGTTGGCATACTATGCGCAGTGAGCCTGACCGAGCACGGTCTAGAGTTTATTTAAGAGCAATTAAGGTGGCAGAAAAATCATTTATTGCCACCAACATTGCATCCACAAAGAACTGCCCAATAGAACTGTTTCGAATGGTAAGGGGGCTTCTAAACCCTTTCCCGACCAATCGGCAGTTTGTTGTTAAGAGTTTGCTAGGTTCTTTGTGGATAAAGTCACTCTGATCTGCTCTGACTTACATGCCAGTATTAATGCAGTCTCCGTGAATGTGAATGAGGCATCTGCTTGTCCTTGTTTAATGAATTCTTTTCAGCTTGTTCGGCCCGAGGACATGGACAAGATCTTAGGAGAAATGAGGCCAACCACTTCTTTTCTGGACCTTTGCTCCAGCATGAATGGATGAAATTCATTAAAGACACACTGGAGCACCTAAATCTTCCTACAAATAACATTTTTAATCACACCTCTGAATAATCAAATCAGAAGAAGTCAAAACTGCATGCAGTAGTTTTAAGTGGTAGTTCAAACAGGAAAGGTAGCTTAATTTGGGGTTTTCTAGAGCACAGCTTCTTTAACTGTGGGTCCTAACCCCAAATGGGGCCCCCTTAGCTCAATGTTGAGGTCACAAAAATTTGGCAACAGTAACACCATCCATTTACATGAATATGTTAGCAACAGAATAGAGTGTTTACAGTGGACTCTGCAAAAAATGCTTCAGCTTTTCTCTAGCCTGTTTCACAAGCCTTTGGGACAATGCAATAGGGGCAATAATAGGAAACCTACTCGCTGACCGGAGCCAGCATTGTGTTCTGAGATCGTTTTGAAGCAACTGATTTTAATTAGATGTAACTGTTTGTAGTGTTTGTGTATATTTATAGTTATTTTATGTTCCAGCATGGAATGCCTGCCGTGTATATGGTGTGATCTGCCCCGAGTCCCCTTTGGGGTGAGAAGGGTGAAATATAAATATTTCAAATAAATAAATAAATACTTTAAAAGTCAAACGGAATTTAATTAATACAGATATCAACACAAAAATAAGCCAGTTACATAACAATACCTTGCTTTCATTGAGCCCTGGTAGGGCTAGGGCGAAGGGAATGGAGTTAAACATATTTGGATAATTTCACCACGCAACATGCAAGAGGGACAAATTAATTGAACTGATTAATCTGAACATTGAAAAGATTATGAACATTAGAGGACATGTACAGATTGCTAAATGGACATACCATGCTATATAAAATGCCCTTTTCAAGTCATAGATAAAATCACAAAATTATTGCTTCCTCATAATATTCTTCCTGAAAGTTTTCCAAAACATACTGAATTCAGACTAAGTTGTTTGAAATTTATCACTGTTGAAATCAGTAGGACCCAACTATGACAACTTTGCTTGAATTCAACCAAAGCTAAGAAAAGTTACTTCTTTGGACCAAAATGCCAAGAATTCCTTTGCCACCATGCTCATAACACCTGTGAGATTCTGTGAGTAGTACTCTTTAAAAAAAGGTTAAGGTGTCTATCCATCTCATAGCTTCTCAGGTAATAAGAAACTGTTGGAAAGTATTTTTACTGCACTTCATCTCCCCGCATACATAGTGTTTTAAAAAAAAAATCAAAGGAATCATACACACACACAACCCCACAACAAAATCATTACAGTTAAGTTTCTCATAGATATTTATAACATCACCCATCCATATCAAGATCCAAAACGTTTTAGACAATTCATAGTTTCCTTTTAAATAAAATAACACAATAGCATTCCCCTGTTTGTGTCTGGGATGGTATTTGCTTCCATGTGCTCAAAATATTTGAAAGCAAGACAAGAACAGAACAATGAAAAGTAAGTTCAAAAGGCATCTCAAGAAGAATTGTGTATTTTTCAAGCAGTCATTTTAAAATTGAAGTTGCCTGGTGCTAGTATCTGTCATTAAACTAAATATTGAATATGTATTTGTCACAAAATGTTCTTCTGCTTAATCCTACAGGGAAATCTGAATTTACAGTACAAATGAAATTATTTTATTTTCTAACTGGAAGTGAGCATCAGTCTGAGAATAAACTTGTGAAACATAATAAAGTTTTTTAAAAATGAATCAACGTATAAAAATTGCAATGCTTCTGATATTTAGTTTCTTTTTTAGTGTGTGTGATCAGAAGCATTATAGAGTTAAGTAAATTCCACCTTGTTCCCAATGTATAGTTTAAGATGAAATTTTATAAAAATACAATTCAGAGATATAAACTATCAGTAGGGATGATTTAGAGACATGTATTTGCATTTATAGAATTCAACATTTGAATCACAGTGACAGAATGCTATACACATCCTAAGAGCAAATGTTTGTTCATTATGGTACAAAAAGAAGGACTGTATTATCCAATGTACTGAGCCCTTCTATTTTCAATAGTCTGAATATATATAAAGATGCTATAAATTTTGCCTATGTACAAATAATACTGCAGGCTCTCAAGAGATCTGCTACATTAAAATGATCCTCTGACTTTAGTCAAAAGTATGCAAGAAACATTTCTAATAAGGCAGGGTCACGGTAGATATTTAAATGTCACTAATTTAGAAACAGGCTCTCTCCATATATATATTCTCAATTCTTTGGGACAATCAGTTTATTTTTTAACATATCTTTGTTGTGTGGGATTGGATTGCTATGGAAAATGGATAAAAGAATGCCAAAAGTAGAAAGTCTAGTAAACTCTAAAGAATATCGCTTGTCCTTCTATGCCCAACTGTCCATGTCATTTGCCAATTCATAAGTAAAAGAGTAGTAGAAGGAATAATATCACTATTTTATTAGCAAGCCACTTTGGGAGAAGAAGGTATGGGTCAGGTCCTAATGTTTTAATTCAAATTAACTCTCATCTCCATAAAGTTTGTCTGCAATAAAGGTGCTAGAGTAAAGTATATTCAACATCTGAAAGAGGCATTAGTGGCTAGTCAGCAAATATTTATCATTCATATATATATATGAATGAAAGAGAAAAACAATTGCATTAACCTAGTGCAATATACATCCATCTTTATAAAGAGAATTCATCTCTTCAAATAAAAATGTTTGAGCTAAGCTAATTGTGAATGCAAACTAAAGCAGACCCATGGAACCAATGAACTTCATGTAATGGGTCTACTGTATCTAGATTTAGCCTTTTTAAAAAATTAGGAATCCAGGGGAATTTGTACTTCAATATAATTGTTATAGTCAAATCCATTTAGACATGTTATTTTATCTTTCTTATTAACAGTCATTGTAAGTTACACGTGTTTGGAAGGATACAAGTACAAATCAAGATATAAATACTGTGAAAAAACGAAGGAACGAAATAGATCCAAAATATTTCATTTAGTAGAAGGTGCAAGTTCTGTTTTGTTGACTTCATCATTGCCAAAAAGCAGTTTTCGAAGAATATTTGCATAGAATGGTCCATACACCTGTTTATTCAGGTTAACAATGTTGGCATATTGTGTACCAATGGTCTCCATTTCAGCCTGAACCACCACAAGGCCTCCTGGAATTGCAGGCATAGACTTTTGGAGGCATGGAGATGCAAGGAGGCTCCTCATGTATAAATGAATCCGTTTATCTGGAGACAGATATGCAAGATAAAAACACAAAATCACACAAATGATGTCATCTGTCATCATTCAGAAAACATATTTATCACACAATACTGTCCAGAATTCACTAGCAATTTTTCAAACTCTTCCTGAAGTTCTAAAGATCCCTTTCTAGAGTCTTCATGGAAATCCACAGAGTCCATGTTATTCAATGAAGGAGATCCATAATAAAGATAGCACACCTCATTCATTGCCACGCTCCATCTTATTGTATTCTAGGATTGGTGGTTTGTTTGGTAACATAGAATTCTCAACCAAAAAGTACCAATGATAGAATTCTCTATCAGAGATTTCTAACAATATAGTTCAGCTGAGTGCATTACAAAATTCTAAGTACAATGTATGTGTGTGCATATACCTTCAAGTCACTTGTTGACATGTGGCAACCCCATAAATTTCATAGGCTTTTCTTAAGAAATATATACTCATTTCCTTCCTCTAAAATGAAGTCTACAGTAGTTGGCATTCCTTAGCAGCCTCCCACTCAAGTACCCCAAAAAGTACAAATCCTCAGCTTTCGTAGAGGGAAGACACAGCAATAAAAGCAATATCAAGACTACTATAACTATTCCCTATTATTCCCATTTGCACTGCAGCAAACCGGTGCCTGTAGCAGTAGCAGGGGAATTCCATGGTGCAAGGCAAATTGTGTTGTGTTTGAAATCACCATTACATTTTAAGTATACATCTAGCATCAATACCCGGCATGGGCAAACTTCGGCCCTCCAGGTGTTCGGGTTAGGAATTGTGGGAGTTGACATCCAAAACACCTGGAGGGTCAACGTTTGCCCATGCCTGATCCAGACCCTTTAGAAGCAAGTTACACTGCTCACCAATTAAAGAGCTGATAGAATTGTCCTCATCAACAATGCTGCAGAGCTGACCCACTAAATTTGCTTGGACTTCCTTATTCAGTGGTGGAAAACTTCTCTCAGTCAGTGACTTGTTTATTTCACTACATGTCTGGATACCTATTGCATTAAGAGCTTCTTTTAAATTGAAATTCCTGCCAAAAAAGGAGAGAAGGAAATGGGAGTAGGTAGGGGAAAAATTAGTTAGCTCTATTAGAATAAATATCTTTCTCTCACAGACAATTAATTTTATTTTTGGTAGTTCTCAAGGCTTAAAACTGTATATAAGTTTCCTTTTCTTTTCAAAAACTTACTTCTTATTCAAACCATCAAGCAAGACAAATGCAATACTCTTTTGTTTCTCCACAAACGTAGGAATGCCTTCAATAACCGAAGCCAACACGTTGCTTGTAATGAGAGAGATGCATGCTATAATCTTCAACTGATACAACTTCTCTGATAGCTCCTGAAGGCGGCCTTCATCTGTCATGAGCGTCTGGAACAGAAGTTTAGAAAAATGTTTACAAGTTCTATTTCTTGTCAAAACTGTTCACTGAGTCAGGGTGAAAACAGCCCCTGAAGACTACTGCTGTCAGGAATAACAAAAGTTTTGTGCTATGAATTTCCATGTACATTTTTCTCCCTGAATATTCAAAATAGTTCAGTGAGAAGCTCCTCCACCTCAACTTACTTGATACGCTAGTAGCTTCAATGGAATAATATGGAAGTCAAATAAAAATCCATGGTTTTGGCTCTCAAACCTGCCCTTGACTAATACATGAGTTTGGCTTATACACAATTATATAACAACAACAACAACAACAACAACAACAACAACAACAACAACAACAACGGAAAAGCTGACATGATTTAAAAATCGAACTGCAAAGACTCTGGCACAAACCAGTAAAGGTGGTCCCAGTGGTGATCGGCACACTGGGTGCAGTGCCTAAAGACCTAGGCCTGCACTTAAACTCAATCGGCGCTGACAAAATTACCATCTGCCAGCTGCAGAAGGCCACCTTACTGGGATCTGCACGCATTATTCGCCGATACATCACACAGTCCTAGACACTTAGGAAGTGTCCGACGTGTGATCCAATTCAACAGACAGCAGAGTGTCCGCTGTGGACTCATCTTGTTGTGTTAATAATAATAATAATAATAATAATAATAATAATAATAATAATCTTGATTTATACCCTGCCTCCATCTGCTCAAGGGGATTTGGGGCGGCTAACATGAGGCCAAGCCCAACAAATTGCAATAGAGCCAAAGAATACAACAAAAAAAATATAATACATCAAATAAAAATACAATAAAATAAATCAAAAGGATAATACAAAATAAACATAGAATCTATATAAATAAAAATGTAATGTTAATTCGTGCTACCATCAGAACTCAAAAACCACTGGGGGAATTGACACCAAATTTGGACACAAGACACCTAACAGTCCAATTTGTGTCCTCCACTCAAAAAAACTGATTTTGTCATTTGGGAATTGTTGTTGCTGGGATTTATAGTTCACCTACAATCAAAGAGTATTCTGAACTCCAACAATGATGGAATTGGGCCAAACTTAGCACACAGGGCTCCCATGACCAACAGAAAAAACTGGAAAGGTTTGGTGGACATTGACCTTGAGTTTGGGAATTATAGTTCACCCACATCCAGAGAGCACTGTGGACTCAAACAATGATGGATCTGGACCAAACTTGGCACGAATATTCCATATGCCCAAATATGAACACAGATGGAGTTTGGAGGAAATAGACCTTGACATTTGGGATTTGTAGTTACTGGGATTTATAGTTCACTACAATTAAAGAGCATTCTGAAACCCACAAACGACAGAAATGGGGCAAACTTCCCACACAGAATCCCCATGACCAACAAAAAATACTTAAAGCCATCCAGTCCAACTCTCTTCACCAGGGCAAGAAAATGTAATTAGAGCCCTCCTGACAAAGAGCCATCCAGTCATAAATATAGATAGATAGATTCACACACACAGATATAGTATCATAGATTTGAAAGAGACCCTTAAAGAAGGACTATGATATGTTGCATATTCCAGAGTAGGCAAACCAGACACTCTCCACACTGACAAAGAAACAACAAGAAATACTGTTTACTGACAAGCATAAAGGAATTACATATATTAGAAACCAACACTTTCTCATTACTTTATTTTCCAGATCACCAGACTGGGCCACAGCAACGCGTGGCAGGGGACAGCTAGTATAACATAAATACCAAGACATTGAACCAAGTGGGAAGGCCAAATAAACAAATAGGATTTTAAAACCCTGGGTGAAATGGATGAGTAGAGCAATGCATCTGGTGGGAATTTGGAGATTCAGCCTTTCTCCCTAATCCCAGTATGCCTCCCAGTAGGTTTCCATGGTTGAACTGGGATTTGAATCCCAGTTTCCTGGAATCCTATGTCAAACTACTACATTATGCTCATTCTTAAATAGAAAGCAAAATCTTAGTTTTTACCTCAGGAACTGCTTTTGTCTGGTAATCCCATTTTAATAATTTCAAGTAGCTGTTGGTTAGCACCGAAGTAGGGCTCAGATTTGGTTTAGAGGTCCCATTAGCACCAGGAGGGGAAGAGGTTTCACAGGATACAGAAGATAATTCATCCTGAATAGATTCCCTTATCCATTCTGTGGTCAGGTCCAGGGCACCTGCAGTTCAAGACAAATGAAAACAGTAGTGTGCATTTCATTGGGGGGAAGGTAATGTCCAGATATATTCACAAAACTGAACAAACAATCATCTAGCTTTTCCAATTTTTCCTGCTGTAGCTAAGAAAAGGAAAACACAAATCTACCCAATCCTGTAGACCTTGTTTTAGCAACAGGGCACAATAGCTCTTTCTACCACCAGGCCACTGGCTATATCCTCTTACAAAAACAAAGCACATACTTGGTGTTTCTTCAAGTATATCTTGGAACTTCGCTCTTTCGTAATCCACCAAGTTACGCTGAAGATGAGGTCTAAGACTCTGAATGGTGAAATTAACCATATCCATTGTCATGAGATCCAGAACATGGAATATTTGCCTGAAATAATGCAAGAATCAAGTTTTTAATCAGTCATCAAGCAAAATGGTAAACTTGCTTAGACACTAAGAGCAGTCTTTTCATGCAGAGTGCAGATACACATACTTATCTGAATGTCCCAGCACTGCAGTTTCTTGGGGCGAGCACTCCACCCAGGGAAAAATCAAGAGATAAACTGTGGAACTAGACTACTAATATTGGGAGCTAACACGGAGAATTGTGTGTACACTGCATGCATTGTGTCTTGAGATTATTTTCAGACATCCAGTAATCTATTTAGGTAAACATGGAAGGAGGGGAGTAAGGTAGCTTTTGTGTGTGTGTGTGTGTGTGTGTGTGTGTGTGTGTGTGTCAGGAGCAACTTGAGAAACTGCAAGTCGCTTCTGGTGTGAGAGAATTGGGCATCTGCAAGGACATTGCCCAGGGGACACCTGGATGTTTTACCATCCTGTGGGGGACTTCTCTCATGTCCCCGCATGAGAAGCTGGAGCTCACAAATGGAAGTTCACCCCGCTCCCCGGATTCAAACCACTGACCTTTCGGTCAGCAGTCCTGTCGGCATGAGGGTTTAACCCACTGCATCACTAGGGGCTCCAGTAAGGTAGCTGTGCATTCTTCTAGTCTCCACATGACAATCTGAAGGGAAGAGCACCATTCACTAATGGAGGCTTTTCACATCCCTGCAAAATCTGATTTTGGAAGAGAACTATACAGAGTGTTGTTCATAATGCAATTTCTGACAGAGGGGAATATGATCCCCCCCTCCCCCGTATTGCCTATATATACACTATACATGCCCTCATTTTTTTCAAGAATTTACTTAATACCATTTTAAAGTTTCTGAGCTGGCCCCTTATATCTTATGGTACTGTGCCTAGTGAAAAAAACTTGAACACACAGGAGTTGCTTTACCATTGTACTGGGAGCTAGCTTTAAATTAGTATACATGTATTTATACTAAGATTTGCCTGATGTGTTGGAAGATTGTCTTGTGGAAAGCACTTTTAGAAGCAGCTGTATGTGTGAAGAGGGAAAACAGCAAGGTTTACTATCAGAATAACAAGCAAAAAAGAAAGAGTGCAATAGCTTACTGTTCTAAAAGCTAAGGTTTTGTCTCTCCCCAAGTGTTGAGATACTCCCTGACCAAACTTGCACAAAATGACCTTAGAAGCACTTTATTTTATGGTTTCGTGCAATTAAATCCTTCCTCATGCCTGGATCCTCCTCCCAATGTTTTACACTGTCCTATCTCCCAGTGTTTTAAAATTTTATCCTTGAATTTGGCCCTGCCCAGTGAAATATTTTCTGTTTTAATGTTGACTTTATATAGTTATGTCACTTATTATATTGGTTTTGCATTTTATGTATTTTATTTTTGGATTTGTTACGTTTTGTGTTATATTGTTGTGTACTGTACTGATGGGAGATGGAGCGGGGTATAAATAAAGTATCATTATTATTATTGAGTTTTTTTTAAAAAAAAACAACAACAAATGCATTTAGGCCCTTTGCCTTTTGGGGTGAGAAAAACACTATTTCAGAAAAGCAAATAAGCACCAACCTCAACAATGCAACAATATTCTCGGTGGCTTTTAACTGGTTCACATCATTATCCCTTACTGGGGCACACAGCTTCCCCATGGTGCTGATGATGTAGTTTGCAATGCCCTGGATGTCAACCGCATTGTGTTCAGCCTGCTGCCTTATGAGGTCTGCGTCTAGGACTTCACAGATTTGACTTCGCATCCTATTAGCCCCAGGATTCAGGAAAGAAAGAAGGATCTACAACATCAAAAAACACAAACCAGCTCAGACCTACCAGATATAGTTGATGGTCCACCAGGATACTGCAAGTCTTACACAACTGACTGAAGAAAGGAGACACATGGAACTGCATGCTGGAAGAATTTCTCCCAAACATGGTTTCATATGATCTCAGGATGCACTTCAGAATTTTCCTCATTTGCATTGTCTCCCTACATTTGAACTCCATGTCAATTGTGTCAAAATAACATTAAATCATGTTAGTGTAAAAAACTACAACACAAATAATTTTGAGATGGTGTGTTCTTAGTAAGCTGGTGAATCTTGGCCTTGTTTTTATTCTTACCATCAGAATCAGCTGTGGCTCTGCATGTGCTGGACCACTGCCAGATGCAGTAATGGGCTGGATGAAGGCCAATAATCTGAAGCTGAATCTCAGAAAGATGGAGGGACTGCGGATTGGTAGTTATCAGGTTGATTAATTGTATAAATGACCTAGCCTGCACTTCCCCTGAGAGAGCAAGCATGTAGCTTGGAAGTATTCCTGGATCTATTTTTGTCACTGAATCCCACTAGAATCTATGGCTCAGAGCACTTGGGGTCAGCTTTGACAACTCCATTAGCTATGACCTTTGCTGAACAGGGATAATTTAGCCACAGTTGTTCATGCCTCTGGTTCTTGCTGGTTTTTTGAGAGCATAGCAAAAACAACAAGAAAAACCCCACAACTTCTGCATAGTCAGTGGCTGAATTTCAGGAGCTGTCATCCAAAAGGGTAATTTTTCCAAACTTGGAACTAAAGCGTACCTCTTTGATTTCTTCAAACAGCTTAATGGCATGTTCATATTCAGGTGGATCTTCATTCAAGTCTTCCTCCAGGCGATCCCAGAATGCTTGGTGTACAATTTGTTTTACTCTTCCAGGCAAGCTGAAGGTTGGGAGACGAGAAAGTACATTCAAGAAAAACACAAAGTGTTCACTTTCACTTTATTATTCAATCACTTTTCAGTCTCAAGCGAGGTTGGTGGGAACGAGAGAGGGGGCCTTCTCTGTGGCCACTCCCCGCCTCTGGAACTCCCTCCCTAAAGAACCCTCTCTCCTCTTCTTTAAAAAGCTTTTAAAGACCTACCTGTGCAATCTAGCTTATGAAGAGGAGGAAAATTAGCATACTTTACACACATCCTCGCCTTGACATTGGATGCGGTTGTGATATATTATATTATTAGGCTTTTAATGTATTAATGTGTTGTGTTTTATTGTAACCCATTGTGTTATATTATGTTTATTTAGTTTCCTTGGTAAAGTTTAGTTGTTTATAAGTTACATTTAGTTTATCTTATTTCATGTTTAATCTTGACTGTTGTTTATTTGTTCTTGTCGTTGAATGTTTGCCATTTTTGTTATACTTTGGAAACCACCCTAAGCCCCTTCGGGGAGAGAGGGCAGAGTATAAATAAAGTATTGTTGTAGGGAAGAATCTGCTTTTTTATTAACTTCGACGTCTATTGACTTGCTACAGCTCAGTGGTTCTCAACCTGTGGGTCCCCAGGTGTTTTGTCCTTCAACTCCCAGAAATCTTAACATCTGACAAACTGGGATTTCTGGGAGTTTTAGGCCAAAACACCTGGGGACCCACAGGTTGAGAAACATTGCGTAGCTGATGCAAAAGATTCTTACCATGATGGTGTCCAAGATAATATAAGCTACTTTTTGTTGCTTCTGATAAAACAGAAATGGGTAAAACGTTGCCCTCCATGTTTGTTGTACTGTAGGTCCCATCATCTTTATTCAGCATTACCAACAAGATACTAGGAGCTGCAGTCCAACAATATGTGGACTATACTTGCCCCCACTTATAAGCAGTAACTATGCATGTAGTTCCAGTTAAGCCAATTACTCACCTAGCTGTGGGGGACAATTTGGAAACATATTTGTTGCTTCAGTTGTTGATGGAACTATAAATCTCATTGAGACCCTTTAAAATAGATGGTGATGGGTAAGTTACATCCTGCATGGTTGATGGTAACGGACTGGCCCAAAACGTAAGTGGAAAAGTTCCCCAGCTCTTTTATGTCTACTTGTATTTGAAACAAATGTGCAATGTGTTGAAATGCAAGTTCTAATTCTCAGGTCACTCTTTTGAGTAAAACCGATACTTCTGTTTTCAATTCAGACTGTAGATTCCAATCCTATGGTAAAACTTGAAGTCATCTTTAAGCACCTGGAGGATTAGGGATGGGTTTTTCTAGCTGCTGGACTGTTAGGGTAAATCTATTTTAAATTTGGGGGTTTGTATTTGCTTCAAAACCCAGTTATTTATGTATCATTTCGACTACAGCCTGCTTTTTGGCAATGCAAGACTGAAACTCACAACATATATTGGGCCTCAAAATACCTATCCCTGAATGCTACAGCCTTCGCAAAATCTCCAGAATGCAGACAAACTATCTGAGACTTGCCAAGATTTGAGGGTTTTTTTTTTGTTTACTTGTTCCTTCAACAGCAGTGTTTGGTATTAGTTTCAAAACCCTGTAGCTTACCTGTTCTGAGGATGTTCTATGCGTTCCATGTGGAAGTTCTCATTAACAGCAATTTCATGAGCCAGGGTCAAATTTGACATGTTTCTGGCTGCTGCCATCATTTCGTCAAAAGTAACCACTTTAGGAGGGCTTGTTGCTGGAATAAAGGAAATAAATTCATGTGAACATGTCCAGAGAGGGATGGGCAGAAGAAAAGCTGTACTTTCCACCCAAAATGGCGGATTACAAACATTTTGCTTCTGGAAACTTATTTTTCTTTGGCCTGCTATCCAAAAAGTCTCTTCATGAGTAGAATTCAGTACAACAAATTGTGAGACATATTTAACAATGCAGATTAAGTTCATGTAGAACCCTGACCAGACCTATCTGGTCTCTTTATTGCTCTTGATATTGTAATCTGAAGAAGTAACATTCCTAAATACTGCTTTTATCAACCTGATTTGGACCTCTTGTTGCTGCCCACCAACACTAGGCAGGGGAAGGAGCATAAGAAGCAACCCTTTTGCCCAAGCATCCCTCAAACTGGAGCCATCCTTATTCTTATTGACAAACCATTTGCCCATGTCCCAAAAGACAGTGTGAAAAACTGCAGCCCTCAATGATACAAATCATAGTCCTGTCATAAGCTTGCAGTACATGGTGCTGGCTTACATGCTGGGGAGCTTGGCTTGCTTGAGGAATCACTGGTGAAACTCTGCCTGGAGTATTCAGAGTCACTGGAAGAAGAAGCTGCACTTTCAGAGAATCTTGAGGAATCACATTCACTATTCTGCTCATTGTTGAGAGGCATTTTGACACAGCACACAAATCTGTATGAGGAAAAGGGAAGGAAAACCAGTTGAATCACTTCAGTCTGCTTGAGAATATAGGGCATCTTCATCAAAAGGGCGGAACTTACCAAAATATTTAGTCAACATCAACTGCACTGCAAAATATGAATACTTCTCTGTCTAAATACAGTTATGGGGGGGGGGGGCAGACAGATAAAAAAAGTGGTAGACAATTTCTTTTTCGTGTCAGGAGCAACTTAAGAAACTGCAAGTCACTTCTGGTGTGAGAGAATTGGCTGTCTGCAAGGCTGTCCAGATGTGTTATCATCCTGTGGTCAGCTTCTCTCATGTTGAAGGGAGATGTTGATAAGCTGGAATGTGTCCAGAGGAGGGCAACTAAAATGATCAAGGGTCTGGATCATTTTAAAAGAGCTGGGCATGTTTAGCTTGAAGAGACGGCTGAGAGGAGACATGATAGCCATGTATAAATATGTGAGAAGAAGTCATAGGGAGGAGGGAGCAAGCTTATTTTCTGCTGTCCTGGAGACCAGGACGCAGAACAATGGCTTCAAACTACAAGAAAGGCAATTCCACCTGAACATTAGGGAGAACTTCCTGACTGTGAGAGCTGTTCAGCAGTGGAATTCTCTGCCCCGAAGTGTGGTGGAGGCTCCTTCTTTGGATGCTTTTAAACAGAGGCTGAATGGCCATCTGTCGGGGGTGCTTTGAATGCAATTTTCCTGCTTCTTGGCAGGGGGTTGGACTGGATGGCCCATGAGGTCTCTTCCAATTCTATGATTCTATGTCCCTGCATGAGAAGCTGGAGCTGACAGACGGGAGCTCACCCCTCTCCCCAGATTTGAGCCTCCGACCTTTCGGTCAGCAGTCCTGCCAGCACAATGGTTTAACCCATTGTGCCATCAGGGGCTCCAGTAGACAATTAAAGTAATGGAAAGGCTAGGAACACAAGTCAGACCAGAATGGTATGAGTAAATGTGTGAAAGAAAATTCTGTGAATGTGAATGTGTAATGTGATACTCTACTTATATAATCTTTTTTTTAAAACCAATTATTTTCTGTTTGAGTAAGAATCAGGTAATAATATGAAATAGATGGTATGGTCAAGGGCTGAATCTCAAGGCACTACCCTGGCTCTTTGCTCCTAGAAAATGAACCTCAAGTGAAAATTAAGTGTCACCAACCTTGAAACAGTGCAGGCATTTCTCTCTAGACAGCAACACAGAGCCAAATGCTTGTGTGTTTGTGTGTGTGCCTGTGTACACACTGAGAACTTTGCAGGATCTTCTTCATTGATAACCCAGCCCTGATTGTGCTTCAGACACCAAACACAACATAATCATCACTAATGACTAGCCAAAACCTTATACCTACCTAAGCAAGCAACCTGCAGGATGGAGCTATCACGAATATGCAGAGACAGGCACAGTCTTCCTAAAAATCAAATAAGAAAGTAACACTCTACATTTACTGTATGTAGTACTTTGAAAGATCCTGAAAACTACACGTTATGGTGAGATCTTTATTAAGTCAACCAAATGGCACAAAATATGTAACGCCTGCTTTTCAAACAACTCATTTCTTCATTTAAGGCAAAGATGATAAAATCATGTGGTAAAGGAAAAATATGACAGTGAACATCATAAGACTGCATTTTGCTTGAGATGTTTACTAAGGTGTTGAATGTTATTGAGGGAGGGTGGATGAAGATAGAGGCTACCTCACCCATACTGTTGTCAGAGAGACTTGAAACAAAGGCTATACAATTTTAGCATTCCTTAACTGGAATTCAGAAATCTAAAATACGCCAAAATCCAAGATTGTTCAAGATTGGCTTAGATAGTGACACTGTTGCTTTCTGGTGGTTCGATGGACACGATATTTAAAATATTGTGTATAAAATTATTTCCAGGCTATGTGTATATACTCAAGCCTTTGACCTTGAGTAGGCTGAATGGGCCTGTTTGAAGCTGACACTTGGCACCTTGTGAACTGACAGCAGTTAGTTTTATCTATGTTGTTTTAAAATTGCATTATTTTGATTTTATGCTACATGTGCTGATGGGGGTTGTTGTTATAATTTTATGTAACTTGTTTTATACTTTTGTACTCTGGAGTGCCTTGTAAGCCACCCCGAATCCCTCTGGGGAGATACTGATGGGATATAAAGATTATTATTTGAAACACAAGATTAGTACAGAGCAAACAAGATCACTATGCTGGTTGTTGTATTGGATCACACAGATACTTCCCAAGTGTCTAGGACTATGTGATGTATCGGCGAATAATGCGTGGATCCCAGTAAGGTGGCCTTTTGCAGCTGACAGATGGTAATTTTGCCAGCGTCAATTGTGTTTAAATGCATGCCAAGGTCTTTAAGCACTGCACCCAGTGTGCCGATCACCACTGGGACCACCTTGACTGGCTTGTGCCAGTTTATTATTATTATTAAGCTTAAATGAGTTTCACGTTTAGACAAAATATCTCATAACATATGCTTATTCCAAAACTATGAAATCCAAAACACTTCTGGTCTCAAGCATTTCGGATTAGAGATCCTGTATTGCATTTCTGTTTCTACTTTGTTTCACACCCCCTTAATGGCAATAAGAAGTTCAACTTTATTCTACACTCAAATCAGTTCTTTCAGAGGCGTACTTGTAGTGTGATGAGGCACTGAGAATTAGATGAAGCTCTAGTTTTCTTACATGTTCCCCAGTCGAATATGATCCTCATATCTACAGGTGATATGGTAATAAAACCCTAAACGACCCGGCCCAATTTACCTGTCCGAATGCATCTCCCCCTATGAACCATTGTGGAGATTAAGATTCTCCGGGGAGGCCCTGCTCTCTGTCCCGCGATTGGTAGGGACAAGAGACAGGGCCTTCTCAGTGATTGCCCCCCTGGCTATGGAACTCCCTTCCTGGTGAGATCAGATTGGCCCCCTCTCTCCCATCCTTCAGAAGGATGGTAAAAACTTGGCTGTGGGACCAAGCTTTTGGGACAGGGCAATAAAGCAGCAATAGGAAAGATTACCAGGCCAATTAGATTTGACGCTGATGACCAGGACAGTTTTAAATGGTGTATTTTAATATTGAGATAAATGTTTTTAATGTTTACGTATGCATATATTAATTCTTGCATGCAATGAATGTTTGCTGTATATATGCTGTGCTTGGCTCTGAGTCCCCGTAGGGGTGAGAAGGGCGGAATATAAATGTTTTTAAAATAATAAATAACGTTCTCAGAATTACATTGGAAACAAGAAACAATGGATAATAGCAAACCTTATTGAAAATAATGACTCTTTTGGAATTTGCTAGGGCCTCTCACATCACTCTAAGCTAACTTCCAGCAGAAGAATACCAGATATTTGAACTGGAGGACATAGAAAAACCTTAGAGAGGATGTGAGTAGTGAAACTGCAGATACCAGTCCCTTGGGTATGGGGCTTTACTGTATTAGAGGCATTTGGTAGACAGATCCCAGGTATCAGCTGCAAAGGTAGAGTGTAGTTACAACTTACGGCAACCCTTGGCCAAACCTATCACAAGGTTGGATGGCCATCTATCAGGGATACTTTGAATGCAATTTTCCTGCTTCTTGGCAAGGGGTTGGACTGGATGGCCCACGAGGTCTCTTCCAACTCAAGGATTCTATGATTCTAAGGTGTTCTTGGCAAGACTTATTTAGAGGGAATTGTCAATACGTTCCTCTGAAGACAGTTAAACCATGGCACCTTGCTCTTAGCAAGACTGATTTAAGCAAGGTTCTGTTCTTCAGCTACAAAACTGAACCTTTAGGGAACCAATGATTTGAAATGCAAATCTTACACAAGTCATGGAGAGCCATTTATCCGGCTCAGGACTCAGTGGGGCAAAATCACTTCCTGTATGTTTTGGATGAGCAAATATTTTCAGGATGGGTCAGACGACCAAAATAAATGTACTGTACTACTATGCAGTGCACTAGACACACGTGGAGAACAGGAAGCTAATATGTCATCATTCCCATTTAAAGCTACATGTGGAATTTAGACACTCACTGGGCAATTATTCAAACTATTCTCTGTCAGTGTGCCAACACTTGCAGGGAAATTAAGATATGCTGTAATTGCACTTGCATGGCACAATTACGATATCTTGGCTTTATTAATTCCCAAATAGATGAGATCCTGTGATTCAATGGAAATTATGTTAAGGCTGACTTACTAAATTCCCATTAATTTAATGGTTCTACTTTAATTAAATTAACAGTTGGATATAGGCTTTTATGTAGAAGCAGAACTTTTGTTTAGTGTCCCTTTGCTCTATCCCATATTCCAAAAAAAAAAAAAAAAGACCTTACAGGTTGCAACAGACTTTTATTTCAAAGCTTTGTAATCTTTGCAAGACTACACAGATATAAACCATAACTTATTTGTCCTGTGTTTTGATAGATCTGCTCTTGATTGTATAAACACTCCCTCCCTCAGTAACACATTCTCCCACTACCTATCTCATCCAGAGTTTTATCAATTTTATCCTAGCGCGTTTGGCCCGCCTACTGTATTCTATTTCTCTATCATGTTATTTTGAAACTGTTTATTTCATTTTGTTATTTCATGTATTTATTTTGATGGTATTTTTGCTTCTTTGTATTTTATTCTGCTGTACTGTAATTTTGGGCTTGGCCTCATGTTAGCCGCCCCAAGTCCCCTTTGAGGAGATGGTGGAAGGGTATAAATAAATAGTATTATTATTGACACAAAAGCACAGTATGTCACAGCAAACGAGATCTATATGCTGGATTTCATATCACAAAATCACAAGTCAAACACTTCCCAAGCGTCTAGGACTGTGTGATGTATTTTCGGATGATGCGCGCAGATCCAAGTAAGGTGACCTTTTGCAGCTGACAGATCGTGATTTCGTTGATGTTTATTGTTTCCAAATGCTGGCTAAGATCTTTTGGCACGGAACCCAGTGCGCCAATGACCATTGGAACCACCTGTACTGATTTAATCTGACAGATACGAGCTGGAAATACTTTATATGCCACAGTTCCATTGACACCATGAACAGAGCTTGGAAAAGTTCCTTTTATCAACTAAAGTTCCTAGCCAATGGGCAACTGATGCTTGTTGGGAGCTTTCTAAAACATTAACGCTTCCAAACTGGAGATCAGATAGTGTAGACGTGAAATAAAAAACTTTAAAGCAAGAAGAAATACATGCTATATTTTAAGGATATGTTTACAATATTTTTCTACACGAGATGAAATTTTAATTTTTAATTACCATATTATTCACTATGTAGTATATCCATTTTTCTCAGGTCTTACCAGTTCAGATGCAGTTCCTCGTACAGACTTTGCGGTAGTTCATTGAAGGCAATGCTTTCAATGCTTTGTGCACTTAGGATCATTAAGAAGGTAACTGGTAAATCTACAGATAGAGATGGAAAAAAGATTTATGAAAAAATCTTCAATTCATTTCTTCCTTGTCAATTTGCAATAGATGTGAAGAGACAGGGATGGAATTTCTATAAAAGTTTAGGCCATAAAACCCTGCCGCTGTCACCTCTGTAAAAGGAGTTGTGGATACTTCTACATTCTATCCATTAGGTACAACTCTGAAGTAATATCTATTCCTGTAGCAGCCTGAATCTTTGCCAGCAGGAGTACACTGAATGCTTAAGTTGGTGGATTTATTTATATCATTTATCTCTCACACTTTTAAGTTGTTTTTTTTAAGTATCCCAATGTTGGCAGGTACAACATCTAAAACAGATTTAACATATATTGTCTATGGCTGCAATTAAAAAAAGCAGAAAGACTTGTAGACTCCATCCATACATAAAAGTAGAAAACCATACAGTGCCGAAATGCAATGGATACACTCACTTTTGTTTATAGTGTCAGAAGCGACTTGAGAAACTGCAAGTCGCTTCTGGCGTGAGAGAATTGGCTGTCTGCAGAGACGTTGCCCAGGGGGATGCCTGGATGTTTTACCATCCTGTGGGAGGCTTCTCTCATGTCCCCCGCATGGGAAACAGGAGCTGACAGACGGGAGCTCACTCCTTCAAGTCAGAAGTTCAGCCGGCACAAGAGTTTAACCCATTGTGCCACCGCAGCTCTCACTAAATCAACAGACATATGCAACAAAGGGAGACTGCATTCTCTTCAACGTTTCACAGATGAAAACCAGGATGTATGTGATTAACAATGTCAAAATATGGTCAAGATGGCACATGTGAAAAAACACACGGGCAAGAAGCGACAGTAGAAGTTAGCTTTGGCCTGAGCCTCCTAGGAAATGAAAGATCTTGCACCATTTTCTCTTCTTCCTCCATTGATTGAGTTAATTAAATAAAAACTAATTTTGCATTTTCAATTCAGTTTGTACTAATTGAAGTAAATAGAGAATGAATCATGGGAGAAGTATTTTTTTGCCCCTTGGTCCCATTCATTCTCTACTATTTCTGAATTATGACCGTCCACACTTTCTCTTGACCTTTCCAATTATCTACAATACTTCTCATATTCCATGACATATTCCATGACAAGTGCTCCTCTTTAACTTCATAGAGTCATAGAATAATAGAGTTGCAAGAGACCTCGAGGGCTACCCAGTCCAACCTCCTGTCAAGAAGCAGGAAAACTGCATTCAAAGTACTCCTGACAGATGGACATCCAGCCTCTGATTAAAGGCCTCCAAAGAAGGAGCCTCCAAAGAAGGAGCCACACTCCAGGACAGAGAGTTCCACTGCTGAACAGCTCTCACAGTTAGGAAGTTCCTAATGTTCCGGTGGAATCTCCTTTCCTGTAGTTTGAAGCCATTGTTCTGTGTCCTTGTCTCCAGGGCACCAGAAAACATGTATGCTTCCTTCTCCCTATGACTTTCCATATTTATACATGGCCCTCATCATGTCTTCTGTCAGCCTTCTCTTCTGAAGGCTAAATATGCACAGCTCTTTAAGTTGCTCCTCATACGGTTTGTTCCCCAGACCCTTGACCATTTTAGTCGCCCTCCTCTGAACACATTCCAGCTTGTCAACATCGCCCTTCAATTGTGGTGCCCAGAATTAGACACAATATTCCAGGTGTGGTCTGACCAAGGCGGAATAGAGGGGTAGCATGACTTTCCTGGATCTAGACACTAGACTCCTATTTATGAAGACCAAAATCCTATTGACTTTTTAAGCTGCTGCATGACATTGTTGGTTCATGTTTAACTTGTTGTCCACAAGAACTCCAATATCTTTTTCACACGTACTGCTCTCGAGCCAAGCATCCCCTATTCTGTATCTTTGCATTTCATTTTTTTTTTGCCTAAGTGGAGTATCTTTCATTTGTCACGGTTGAACTTCATTTTGTTAGTTTTGCCCCATCTCTCTAATCTGTCAAGATCATTTTGGATTCTGCTTCTGTCTTCTGGAATATTGACTATCCCTCCCAATTTGGTCTCTGCAAATCTGATGACCAAGCCTTCTAATCCTTCATCTAAGTAATTAATAACAACTAAGTCATTCAATCTTTCCTTTTGTTTCCTGTACCTCAGTTTGTGCAAGTTGGTTATTAGCAGCCCCCCACTAACTTTAGGCTTGAATGAGACATCTGTCACAGATGGCTTATGAAATGAACCAAGGACCACAGATTGCCAAAGGGCTGCATTAATCGATAATGTGAGCTGCATTTTATTATGTTAAAAGGTTTTATACACGCTGCAAGGTCATTTTAACCTATTGGCTTATTCTGTCAGGGCCAATTAGTTCCCTAAACTTGAGTTTTCCTAGTTGATGGGTGAGAATTATGTGTCCTCCCAGCTTCTGTTGAACTGCAAATACCAGCAGCTCCAGACAGCATTATCAATCATGAAGAATGCTAGGAGTTGTAGTCCAGCACCATCTGGAAAGCTGCAGGATTTCCATTCCTATGTTAGGTCTATTTAACCCTTCTCTGGAAATTCTCTTCTATATATAAATCACTTCTCCAAAGCTGTTATAGTTGAGGGAGGGAAAAAGGTAGTTGAATTAAAATATAGGCCCTTATTAAGAACACAGACATAGACTGAGAGAGAAAATGTATTGTCGAAGGCTTTTATGGTCGAATCACTGGGTTGTTGTAGGTTTTCAGGCTGTATGACCATGTTCTAGAAGCATTCTCTCCTGACGTTTCACCTGCATCTATGGCAGGCAACCTCAGAGGTTGTGAGGTCTCACAACCTTTGAGAATGCCTGCCATAGATGCAGGCGAAATGGCAGGAGAGAATGCTTCTAGAACATGGTCATAGAGCCCAAAAAACCTACAATAACTCCAAGAGAGAAAAACTGATAGAATACAGGTATCTAGATATTGTATTGTCGAAGGCTTTCATGGCCGGAATCACTGGGTTGTTGTAGGTTTTTTTGGGCTATATGGCCATGTTCTAGAGGCATTCTCTCCTGATGTTTCGCCTGCATCTATGACAAGCATCCTCAGAGGTAGTGGGGACCTCATTACCTCTGAGGATGCTTGCCATAGATGCAGGCGAAACGTCAGGAGAGAATGCCTCTAGAACATGGCCATATAGCCTGAAAAAACCTACAACAACTTATCTGGATATTATTTTTTCTGGGGGGAAAGTCTCTAATAATTTAATGCTTGGTTCTGCATTTGTTGAAGAATTTTTGCTTGGGGCATTGCTTAAAATTGGTACAGAATTAAATCCTACTGGTCACAAAAAAAATCTCCTTCCAAGTAAGCATGCATAGGACTGTGCTAGCTGTAATCAATCCAAGGAAATAAATAGGGCCTGCAATAAAATGGTAGTGTTTATGCGCCTTCCTAATTGGAGTGCTCCAGACCATCAATTATTCCTCCAAAGTGGGTCATTCCTCTCTTTGAGTTCCTTTTCTACATGACATTCAGAATCCCATGGCTATTGAATGTACTCAATCCTCACTAAGAAGTTTCGGGAGAGCATTTTTGTTCCCTTAATGTTTAAAACTCTTTTGAACATCAGCAAACTTCCGGATCTCCCCCTTCTTGCTCAATGCTTCAATTTTGGCTCCATTTCTCTTGGCACTTGCCAACGAAATTCACTATTAAAGCAAATGGAGCTCAGTGCTTTCCTCCTGCCTCTCCCAGTTCTCAAGACTCCTCAAGGTTATCTTTCAATCCTTTAACAGGGCTGCGTGTATTGCCAGATTTCCAGACCTGCCTCATTCCTTCTCTTCTGTCTTTCAAAATAACCCTGTGACCTAATGACTGTTATCACATTGGCTACTCAAGTTTAGATCACAGGCTGTTCTCAAGCTGTTTTTGTGTCCCTTGGTTCATCCAGAAACAGGTATAGAAAAAGTGTATCTTTCATATAAATGGCAAAATCCATTGCCTTTGGGGAATATCGTTTTTTGGAATATTTTCAAGCTGTGGTTGAAATGGCTACAGAATGACAACTGTACTTCTAATTTTTTTAATTTGTTTATTTATTTATTTGTTTACCATATTTATATACCGCCTCTCTCAGCCCAGAGACGTTTAAAAAAGAAAGTACGGGGAAACATTAATATCCAATGTGATTTGGTTACAGGTTGCCCCTCCCCCCAATGGCTATCAAAATCCATTAACCCGCTCCACTTTCTTCTTTCTTCTCCTTTTTACTTGAATAACCTGGTCGTGTTTACTCTATCTTTACACCAGTGCCCTTGATTGATCACGTAGACATTAATAGGATGATGATGGATAAGATGAGTGTGTCATTCCCCTGCCCGAACACGTTCGAGCAGTACAGTCATGTACCTAGTGAAAGAGGTATCCTGATGAGGCGCAGCCCGAGGAGGAGACCTTTTGATTTTTGGCTTGCTAGCTGTACCACCGTCGATCCCGCCGCTCACCCACGTTGTTGTATCAAGCAGACCACTGAAGGATCAATGGACACACGCACAAGAACCTACATATTTACGCAACCATGTGACTATTAACTTCTGCCACAAGTGAGAAACACTGGTGGGGTGCTGTAGTGGCAATAGGAGATATCAGCTCGCGCTATGGGAAGAGCTGACGAGAGACGCGAGCATTATTCGATGACACTGTACCCTAAAGAAAAGAGAACCTTTGAGAAGGACATGGACACACTCCAATGCGCGCGTGGCTCTCAAACACTCCACACAGCCGAGACCACAAATAGTGCGACAAAAGCATAAGACCAGATGATGAGCCCAAACCTCAACTCTAGAACCAAATCAGTGTGTAACAGACATGTGTACGCCCATCACAACATACTTGAGGCACACGCCGACGCAACCCCATGACCAATAGAAAATACTGTGTTTTCTGATGGTCTTTAGCGACCCCTCTGACACCCCCCACAAACCCCAGGCTGAAAAACACTGGGCTAAAGCCAGCACTCTGAATTCTTCTCGATAGCAGATGGGTTCGTAAACCTTTTCCATTCAGGATCCCTTTCCACTTGAGAAATGTTTACTGGATTTCAGTTCATAAAAAAGGTATAAAAATCAAAAGTTTACTAGTAAGAATTCAGCATTCACAAGGCTTGCTAAACAGGCTCCCTTTTGTGGAGTTCAACTATGTCCATTGTAAACACTGCACCTTGTTGCTAACAGATGTGAGAATATGGGTGGCATTCAGAAGCCTTAAGTGGCTGAAAGGGGCCCCGAGGTTGTTAGGAATGGTGGGAGTTGAAATCCAAAACACCAGGGGGGCCGACTTTGGCTCATGCCTGAGCTAAGGGGACCCCACAGTTGAAGAAGCAGTGGATTAAGGCTTTTTTCTCCCAGCGCCTCCAGTGTCCAGGGCTGCCACTTGAGCCATGGCTCTGGTTAGGACAGAGAGAAAGAAGCCCACACGTCCCCCCCTTCTTAGGCAGAGATGGCTCCTCCTCTTCCTCCCTCCTTTTCCTCCCTGAAGATATATTTTTGGCAGCTACACCAAAAACACAACCGCTCTGGCACTTGCGGATCAAAACAAAAGCATGGTTTCCAAGGAAAGCGCTTTCCAAACACACAGCAAGCGTCTCCCCTGTTTCCTCCTACTGACATCTGTAAAACATTGCTTGCTATATATACAGAAGGCCCCTCTATTTCTTTTACATTTTAGGAGGGGGAAAAAATAATAAGAACATCCCCTGCTACTTAATTAAACACCCACAAAATCTCAGGGTGGGGGGAATGGAGGCAAAGTTGCCCCAGATTGACAATTCGGCTTGTAAACAAAGGCAAACACAAGCTACTTATTCTCTCTTTTGCCCCCTCCAGTTCACAATCAGAGAGAATTGGATCATTTCGAAGTTGAAGGTTACAATAGGAGGTGCCATTGCTTTGGTGACCTCAATTTCTTTCGGAAGGGGGGGGGGGGTATTTCTTTCGACTAATAAGATGGAGAGCCTCACAACCTCTGCCATAGATGTGGGCAAAACGTCAGGAGAGAATGCTTCTGGAACATGGCCATACAGCCCGGAAATTTCTAAAAATATATAGCTAAAAAATATAATGGGTTACTGTGAGTTTTCCAAGCTGTCTGGCCATGTTCCAGAAGCATTCTCTCCTGATGTTTTGGCCACATCTATGGCAGGCATCCTCAGAGGTTGTGAGGCTCTCCATCCTATTAGTCGAAAGAAAAACTAGGAAAATTGAGTTTATATATCTGTCCAATATCCAGGGTGGGGGAAAGGACTCCTTTCTGCTGGAGGTAGGTGTGAATGTTGCAATTGGCCACCTTGATTAGCATTTAATGGCCTAGCAGTTTCAAGGCCTGGCTTCTTACTGCTACAGTGAATCCTTTGTTGGGAGATAATTAGCTGACCTCGGTTGTTTCTTGTCTGGAATCCCCCTGTTTTGAGTGTTCTTTAGTTACTGTTATGATTTTACTTACTGTTGTGATTATTTACTGGGAGATCATTAGCTGGCCTCGAATGTTTCTTGTCTGGATTTTCCCTGTTTTGAGTGTTCTTTATTTACTGTTATGATTTATTTACTATTGTGATTATTTACTGGGAGATCATTAGCTGGCCTTAATTGTTTCTTGTCTCGAATTCCCCTGTTTTGAGTGTTCTTTATTTACTGTTATGATTTATTTACTGTTGTGATTATTTACTGGGAGATGATTAGCTGGCGATTGTTTCTTGTCTCGAATTCCCCTGTTTTGAGTGTTCTTTATTTACTGTTATGATTTATTTACTGTTGTGATTATTTACTGGGAGATCATTAGCTGGCCTCGATTGTTTCTTGTCTGGATTTCCCCTGTTCTGAGTGTTGTTCTTTATTTACTGTTATGATTATTTACTGTAAACCCATTAAATGCTAATCAAGGGGGCCAATTGCAACATTCACAACTACCTTACACATAGAAGAGTTCTTTCTTCCACACTGGACATTTCACAGATATATAAACCCCTTTTCCTAGTTTCCAACAGACCTCACAACCTCTGAGGGTGCCTGTCATAGATGTGGGCGAAACGTCAGGAGAGAGTGCTTCTGGAACATGACCATACAGCCTGGAAAATTCCAACAATCCAGTGATTCCGGCCAATACAAAAATATATATAATGTCACCTTGAGCTCTCCCTTCCTTCCTTGCTAACCAGGATCCCTGGAAATGGTGGGAATCCGGAGTGGAACCAGTTCATAACAAGGCTAAATTCCATCGCAGGGGGTGAGACACAATAGTTCCAGATTCTGTATCCACGGATTCCACTATCCACGGCATGAAAAGGCTCCAGAAAGCTTTTGCCATAAGAGAGAGGATTTAATGGCACTGCTGTCTGTCTATCATGAGACTTGGGGGATCCTGCAACCAAAACACCGCGGATACGGGGCCCCCACTGTGCAGCAAAGACCATACACACCACCTTCCCCCCCGCAGCAATACTCACCCCTGTGAGCTCCACAGAAAGTGGGTCCAGTCTCCTTTTCCCTTGCTTTCCTCTCTCTGCTTCTGCACTCGACGGTCAGCTGTTCTCATTGGGCTTTAAACTCCCGACTCCCCCCATTTATTTATACATAGTCCTTCGCTGTCTATTAGCAGCTGCTTGGACGCGTCCATTTTCCACTGGGAAAGGGGGAAGCGTCATTAAATCGCTGTGCCGCGAAGCTTGGGCCAAGTATGGAGCAAAGGAGAGCATTCACTGGAATTTAAAGAAAGCGTTTCACCCAAACTCCAGCCGAGTTGGACACCTATAGATCTGGGGGAAGGAGAAATGAGCCTCAAGGAACTGAGGCGTCCCCTTTCCCTGGTGAAAATGCGACCTTCCAAAGCGAAGGGAGGGGACGGCGCGGTGTTTACGGAAGGTGTCCTTAGTTCTCCCCGGCCTTGTATGGGGGGAGCGTTCACACAGTAGGATTAATGCAGTTGGACACCTCTTTAACTGCTATGGCTTCAGGCAGGGATCCTCAAACTTTTTAAATAGCCAGGTCACAGTCCCTCAAACTGTTGGAAGGCCAGATTTTAATTTTTTTTTAATTTTAATAATAAGTATTATTATTATTATTATTGTATCTGCAGTATGGTGTAGATCAGTGTTTCTCAACCTGGGGGTCGGGACCCCTGTGGGGGTCGCGAGGGGGTGTCAGAGGGGTCGCCAAAGACCATCAGAAAACATAGTATTTTCTGTTGGTCATGGGAGTCCTGTGGGCCAAGTTTGGTCCAATTCTATCATTGGCGGGGTTCAGAATGCTATTTCATTGTGAGTGAACTATAAATCCCAACAACTGCAACTCCCAATTGGCAAGGTCTATTTTCTCCAAACTCTACCAGTGTTCACATTTGGGCATATTGAGTATTTGTGCCACGTTTGATCCAGATCCATCATTGTTTGAGTCCACAGTCTGGATATAGGTGAACTACAACTCCAAAAACTCAAGGTCAATGTCCACCAGTCCTTCCCAATATTTTCTCTCGGTCATGGGAATTCTGTGTGCCATGTTTGATTCAATTCCATCATTGATTGAGTTCAGAAGGCTTTTTGATTTAAGGTGAACTATAAATCCCAGCAACTCCAGTGTTACCAAATGACAAAATCAATCACCCCCAACCCCACCAGTATTCAAATTTTGGGTGTATTGGGCATTTGTGCCAAATTTGGTCCAGGGACTGAAAATACATTCTGCATATCAGATATCTACATTACAATTCATAACAGTAGCAAAATTACAGTTATGAAGTAGCAACGAAAATAACGTTATGGTTGGGGGTCACCACCACATGAGGAACCATATTAAGGGGTCGCAGCATTAGGAAGGTTGAGAACCACTGGTGTAGATATTATTGTATCTGCAGCATGGGCCAGATTATAATTTGAATAAAACATGAATGACTTGCTTACTACTTACTTGTAGTCCAAGGATGATGGTCCTCCAAGTTCGGTGTCCTGGCAGTGGGTTCGTAGGTGACAGTGGAGCCCAATTCTTGATCTGCATCTTCTTCCGCAGTGAGGGCATTGGTTTCCAGGTTGGGGTTGGCTTGACGCGCCTTCCTCCTGGCACGTTTCCCTCTTTCGCCCTCCATTCGTGCCTCCTCAAATTCTGCAGCACTGCTGGTCACAGCTGACCTCCAGCTGGGGCGCTCAAGGGCCAGGGCTTCCCAGTTCTCAGTGTCTATGCCAGAGTTTTTAAGGTTGGCTTTGAGCCCATCTTTAAATCTCTTTTCCTGCCAACATTCTGTTTTCCATTCTTAAGTTCAGAGTAGAGGAGACGGTGGTCGGGCATCCGGACAATGTGGCCGGTCCATCGGAGTTGATGGCGGAGGACCATCGCTTCAATGCTGGTGGTCTTTGCTTCTTCCAGCACGCTGACATTTGTCCACTTGTCTTCCCAAGAGATTTGCAGGATTTTCCAGAGGCAGCGCTGATGGAATCGTCCCAGGAGTTGCATGTGACGTCTGTAGACCACGTTTTGCAAGCATATAGCAGGGTTGGGAGAACAATAGCTTTATAAACAAGCACCTTGGTATCCCTACAGATGTCCCGGTCCTCAAACACTCTCTGCTTCGTTCTTGTGGGTTTTTTTCGGGCTATATGGCCATGTTCTAGAGGCATTTCTCCTGACGTTTCGCCTGCATCTATGGCAAGCTTCCTCAGAGGTCTGCTGGAGCTGGGAAAAAGGGGTTTATATATCTGTGGAATGACCAGGGTGAGACAAAAGGCTTTTGTAAGTGGGTGGGCTAGGTGTGAATCTTTTCAACTGACCACCTTGATTAGCATACAATGGGCTGACAGTGCCTGGAGCAAACTCTTCTAGAAAGGTGATTAGATGTCCCTGCCTGTTTTTCTCTCTGCTGTTTTAATTTTAGAATTTTTTAATACTGGTAGCCAGATTTTGTTCATTTTCATGGTTTCTTCCTTTCTGTTGAAATTGTCCACATGTTGTGGATTTCAATGGCTTCTCTGTGTAGTCTGACATGGTGGTTGTGAGAGTGGTCCAGCATTTCTGTGTTCTCAAATAATATGCTGTGTCCAGGTTGGTTCATCAGGTGCTCTGCTATGGCTGACTTCTCTGGTTGAAGTAGTCTGCAGTGCCTTTCATGTTCCTGGATTCTTGTTTGGGCGCTGCGTTTGGTGGTCCCTATGTAGACTTGTCCACAGCTGCATGGTATACGGTAGACTCCTGCAGAGGTGAGAGGATCCCTCTTGTCCTTTGCTGAACGTAGCATTTGTTGGATTTTCCTGGTGGGTTTGTAGATTGTTTGTATGTTGTGTTTCCTCATCAGCTTCCCTATGCGATCAGTGGTTCCCTTGATGTATGGCAGGAACACTTTTCCTCTGGGTGCTGCACTTGCAGAGCTCAGGCGGTGTTGAATGAATTCCTATGTACACTACACATATCTTATTTGTAGTGCAAAAAGCACTTAAAAACAATACAATAATTAAAATGAAGAACAATTTAAACAAATATAAACTAATTCATATTTCAATGGGAAGTGTTGCCTGCTTTTGGCTGATGAGATAGGATTGTTGTTGTTGTTGTTGTTGTGTGCTTTCAAGTTGTTTCAGATTTAGGTTGACCCTGAGTGAGGGCCTGGTAAATGACCTTGGAGGGCCGAATTCGACCCTCAGGCCTTAGTTTGAGGATCCCTGGTTTAAGATTATGGATTTCTGGGAGTTGTATAGTTTAGTGCAGCACTCTTAAGGCAGGGAAGACTAAACGCCATGCAAAACTACAACTCCCGGGATCCCACACCATTGAGCCATGGCAGTTAAAGTGGTGTCAACCCGCATCAATCCTACTGCGTGGATGGAACCAACGTTGTGGGTTTTCTTCTCTGATGGTGGAGACAAAACACAGCTCGCCCCCCCCCCCTTCACATTCTGGCCTCGAAAGGCAATATTCCAGCAAACTTAAAACAAGCTGTAATAAAACCACTGTTGAAGACACCATCACTGGACCCCACTCAATTTGACAACTTTCGGCCTGTTTCCAATCTCCCCTTTTGGGGCAAAGTCCTGGAATGTTCCAAGAATTATTTGCACATCTTTCGTAGTTATTATTGCACTGTAGATAATCTCCAAAAGCTTGAACCCAGACCCAGGTTTTCATTTTCCTTCTAAAGGCCAGAAGGAAGGGAGCTGCTTTAATATCACTGGGGACGGAGTTCCACATCTGAGGGATTGCCACTGAGAAGGCCCCTGTCTTTCATTCCCACCAGATGTGCCTGCGAAGGTGGCAGGACTGATAGCAGGGCCTGCCCTGATGATCTTAATCTCCTAGGTGGTTTATAGGAGGAGATACTTCAAACAGGTAAACTGGGCTGGAACTCTTTAAGGCTTTACAGGCTAAAGCCAGCACTTTGAATTGTGCTTGGTAGCAAAACTGGCAGCCAGTGGAGGGTTGTATGCTCCCTGAACACCGCTCCAGAGATCAACCTGGCTGCTATCCATCTGACTATTTGAAGCTTCTGAACAGTCTTCAAAGGCAACCCCAAGTAGAGCATGTTGACGTAGTCCATTTGGGATGTAACCAGAGAGTGGTCTACTGTGGCCAAGTCTGACTTCCCAAGGTACAGATGCAGCTGGCACACAAGTTTTAATTGTATGAATGCTCCTCTGGCCTCCGCCAATATCTGGGGTTCCAGGGTCAGCAATGTCCAGAACTCCCAAACTGAGAATCTGAGTCTTCAGGGGAGTGTAACCCCGTCCAACATAGGCTGTAACCCTATACCCCGTTCAACCTTGCAACTAACCAGGTGTACCTCTGTGTACTTCAATTTCAATTTGTTTGCTCTCATCCAGAGTGCCTCAGCTGCCAAGCACCAGTTCGGCAATGGCCTGCAGTTTTCCCCAAACTTGTATTAATCTTGGCTACATCTACAAAAAGTTGCTTTTGTAAAAGCCGGGATGCTCAATTGAGTATGAGAAGAATGCAAAAGGATTTTGTTTATGAAAATTGGAAATGAAACAAAATATGGTGTTCTGTAACACATAGAAACTCCAAATGCCACATTTATTCATTATTGTTTCCTTCCCAATATGTGTATTGTAGCCCTTGGTATCTTTTGGGTTTGGTTCTAGGATGCTTTTGGTATCAAAATCCATGGGCGCTTATTATATATAGTGGCACAATACACAATGGTGTTCCCTTATATAAAATGTCAAAATATTTTTAATGAAAAATTATTTTCAAGTCATGGATCAGTGCAGAATCCATAGACGGTTTGCACTCGCAATAATGCAACAGAGAGAAGGAAGCAGGGAGTGCCATTCCCATTTCAGAAATATTCCACTTCTGAAATGGGATATTGAAATTTAAATTCAATTTGTAATACAAGATACATTTCTATCATAATTAGAAACTCATAAAAACAAAGCAGTTTAATCAGAAACACAAAGCAATATTACGTAACCAAATTAGCACTTGTTGCTATATCCAGCCGACACCTTGTCAGAATCATGTGTGAGTCAAGAGCTTATAACTCTGACTATTTGGATGATGGGGTGCCAAATTATGTTTATCCTCATTACCCACGCTTCCAGATACACTGCAGAATGACAACAGTGTTATAAAATGTGCCTCTTTCTTCAGGACACCAACTCTTGTGACA